ATTTTTTTACGTCTCATTTTGTTCTTTTAAAAGTTATTTTAATTTGTCTTACTGTAATTATAGTTGTTGTGACCTTTCTAATTAAAATTAAACTCCAAAAAGTTTGATTAACTTGAAATAATTATGTATCATGAATATAAAAGATAATAAATTAAAGTTTAGTAAAATAAAATAAAAAAATTATTATTTAAAAATATTTTAAGAAAAAAATAATAATGAAATTAAAAAAATATTGTTTGGAATCGCTCGGAGTGGGGACCGAACCTGGGTGCTACTGCGTTTACTGCTTTAACAGCAAAAACGAAACTTAGAAACTTATTTTACCTTTTTAAAATCACGTTCTCCTAATTTTAAAGCTAAAACCCTGTTTTTGCTTTAAAATGCATTTTAAGTTGACTTTGACAGAGTTAAAATGGTGATTACTATAAAACACAATTTTAATCGTTAACAACTTTTTCCAACTTCTCTATGACTACGGGCCACTCCCTGTAGCGAAACGAACTAGGGCGGAACTGGTTCGGTTCTAGTGCGTTTGGAACCATGACAAGTACGCGTTAATTCTCTTTTGCATGCTATACAAAGCTATGCATAGCTATGTTAGCTTTACAAAAAATGTATATTACTTAAATGTTCTAAACACTTAATTTTGTTTTAATTTTGCCTATGGGACAAAGCACTGTGCGCTGTTCAATTTCGGTTGGTCCCATACGAGTTGTATGTATGTGCATGAGAAATTTTTGACAGTAAATTTCCGGCGTGCGCGAATATTAGGTTGGACTGTAAAGCCTATTAAATTAATCCATAAATCCATCCATCAGATCCACACCACCCATATAATTGATATATTCCTTTATTATTTGTGGGCAATCTACTTCGACATATTCCTTTCGTTTACGATCGTAACGCGCTGCTTTATTTGGGGGTATTGAAGAATTATTCTTCAAAAACGGCATGACACCAACGTATGTCGATGCAAGTCGCACCCTTTGGTTGTCCTTCCATGACACAGTTGCCATATCTACACCATATGCTGTGCTAACGAACTCAACGGAATATCCTGTTTTAGCGTCTTTATACTCTTTCTCTCTTTGATTTGGCTACTTAAGAGTTGAGAATTCGATTAGAACGAATAGTGCCCAGATTAAAAATTTAGCTTTAATTTAAAACAAATGTTCCAAATTTCCGAGCTCTAGTTGATTAATAAATTCGGTATGAACCACGCACTTTTTTATTAATGTCGATGTTGGTTCTGCGCAAAGATACAGTGGATGGCGTAGCTGAAGTTGTATGCACAATAAATGTTGTATACCTTTTACAGTTGCCTCTTCTCCGGCAACACAGAAAATAGAATCTAATGAGAAATTATAATCCCTAAGCGCGGCCGAAGGCAGAAGCAAGCGCAACCAGGTGGTTGACTAACAAAATGCATTATTTCAATGGCTTGGAAGCAGCTGTTATTGCATTAACTGGATTGAGAACAAGTTCTTCAGGCATAGGAGGAATTATAGCTTGCGGCTCAACAATTAAACCAGAAGCTGACATAGACATTGACAGCTGACATTGTTGCTATGCCCGACAGCGCCGCATACCTTTATGAGTCCATTGCCATAGCGAGGTCTTACTGCGCTACTATAATTGCAAATGCATCTGAATCCATAATTTTCATCAAAATATGTAAAATCAACAAATTTTAAAATAAATGAGCACATGGTAAGTGTTTCTTTAATTCCTTTCCACTTTGTTTTCTGTCATACAGCTGAATTTGAAAAACAACTGATATCTGGCAATGCTGCACATCTTTCCGCAAGGCTTGTTGCAGGCCGATTTTTCGTTTTTCGTAACGTAGCGACGAATTACGAATTACGAAAATTCGGATTCTAGAATAAGGGTGTATGTCTCTGAAACTGATAATACAGTATTGATATTTTCTTGGCGTGCAGCACGGTTTGTTTCCGAGACAATGAGGTTGACTATTTCAGTTGATAAAAAGCACTTGAAGCACTAGGAAAGCGTTTATAAAGTTTTTATAGATTGTGGTGGGGAACTATTTCCTCGAAAGGTCACTTCATTGATATGCAACTAACTGTAGTGACTTTTTTCCCATAAAATTTGTTGAAATTCTTTGATATCGATGTCGGTTAAATTTTTACCGCTGAAGACGCAATGAGAGGGAGTGCATGTAGGGCCATAAATTTCTATTTCGGGTAACGGAGATCGGTGTCGTTTGTTTGGTTTGAAAGATGCTCCGGCCGATATGGTAGAAGCTGGTTCTTCTAATATAAAAATAAAATTTAAATTCAGTATTAAAATTAGCTTGATTTACCGAAATATTACCTTGTTCTATAGAGTTAACATTTAATGCTAAATTGGTATACTTGCAGATGGCCGAGCTCGTATCACAATGCTGCACTGCTTCTAAGCACTGCGATATTGATGTGTCAGTAGTTTCTCCACATTCAATATAATCTTCAGGTAGAAAATCAGGGTCAAAATCATCATAATCATCACTATCACTAGTCATCATGACTTAGTTGGCCATCCACAGACATCATATACGCTTCATCCGACAGCTTAGACAGTTTACATTTTCGGTGGTTGTTTCACTTTTGGAACTCCCACTTCTTTTTTATCCATTGCTAACAAAATATAATTGAAAATGTCGGTATATTTAGAAACAAAAAAAACTTCGAAACGTAAATTTATATGAAAGGTGTTATACGTTGGCAACTTCTCGCTCTAATCCGCCATCTTGCACTACCTTAGGAGAAACTGTGTTGTTTCTTTGCTTATTATTATTATTACAATTACTGGACATTGGGAACGGAAAGCTGCCAGTCAATGAGTGATTAAGACAAATTTTATGGCCTGATAACACAGGCCGACAAATAAGACCGATCTCCTTACCCAGAAACCAGACTATACTTTCCCTGGCTTGCATACACAAGCCACTTATAGGTTAGAATATCTCAATGTGATAGAGCAATTCTGTGGCCAGATTTGAATTCAGCGCACCGAAAACCTTCGGGAAAGTATAGTCTGGTTTCTGGGTAAAAATTTTGTCGGACTGTGTAATTTTTGTTACTTAGAATCATCGAAAGCAGAACTGATCGAAGGAATGTTTCTTTATTAAGAAAATTAATTATAGGAATCACGATTGGCTCAGTGAACGGACTATTCTTGCTTGCGAAGAATAAGGATGTCTATCAACTAGTAATAACAGTGGTATTGACAACAGTCGTTGCTTGGCCTCTTGTTTACTTTGGTGAATACCTGTAATATTATTTAATCCAGCATTCAACGTGAGGAAATAGAATGAATATACGTCGATAAACAACGTTGTGCAAAAAGACGCTTCAACGGAATTTTTGAACTCGATTGATCTTCGAGGGAGACACCACATACTGAAATTGAAAATAGGTGTGCAAAACTCTGCAATTGCACGCGACTCGCAGTTAGGAAATTGATGAAGAACGTAGTGTAAGTAAAGATTTTTACGTGGCCTTTCAAAGGTGAAGAATTCCCATGATTCCGACCGATACACCATTTTAATTTAAAAAACTGCAATTCCCAATTCGATTGACATTCGGAATTCCAATCAATAATGCTCCAGGTCGGACTTTGGAAAAGTATGGCTTAGTTTTAGATGCGGATTGATTCTCAGATATTGCGTGTTCCTGTGTCGGCAAACCAGATATGCTTGATATCTATGCAGAGAATGGAAACACAACAAATATTGTGTGCACACAAGTACTTATTACATAACCAAACACATATAAAACGTATGCTTTGTTTCGTTAATTATTTATCATCTGTATAACAGGAATATGCCACAGCACAGCGTTTTTCCTATAAATATTGACGATGCAACTGATTTAACGATCTATTGGTGATAAGATATGACCGTTTTTATATGAGACCAAATTTAAAATGGAAAACTATGATGATCGCAATCTTCCCGTTAATATTAAGAGCTTAGATTGCGTAAGTACTTTCTAGAGGTACCCAGGAACTAGTTTTCGTGTGTCGGATAAAAAAAAAAATACTTGATTTTTTTTGACCCGCCCTAATGTGCACGCAAGAAAGGTTATTCCTTCACATGAACTTAGCACACAAAAAATTATGCACTCACCTAAATTTCAGTTCTGCGTGAACAGATATGCTCTTTGGTCAAAATGACCCACAATTTGTGTGCAGCTGTGCAAAATAACAAATGATTATCTACAAAAATTTGTGTTTTTTTTGGCTTTTTTTTGCTTTAAAAGCCATTGTAGACACTTAACAGAGGCATTAAAAAAGTTGTATCGCAGTGCGACAGTTTTTAAGGTAAGTTCAGGACAGATTTCTTTCGAAATTCGGTCATTTTGATTTAATTTGTGCAAAAAGGTTAAGAGGGTTAGAGGAATGCTTAAATTTGGAAAAAATAAAACATTTCATATCACTTCTCGAAGAAAATTCCAAAGTAATTTTAAAATTTATACTGTTTCCTTCCCATGGAAACTGCGGAGTGCTGGTATTTCCTAAAGGGGTGTCACCAAACAAAGCACAAAACGGTTTGAATAAATATATCTGTGTTCGTATGGAAAAGTAGCTTATGTCGAAAGGTTGGCTTTAGTATAATGCGGCATTCCTTTTATTCTTTGAACGACAAGGAAGTTTTTGATGAGACTTAATAAGAATATTGACTTGCTAGTATCGGAACTATTTCTTGCACGTTTATTTGCTAAAGGTTGTTCAACAGCTCAGCGCCAGCGAGTCATTCGCGATCGTATGCTGCAAATGCCGATTTATATTAAAGTCAGCCTTTCGACATAAGCTACTTTTCCATACGAACACAGATATACTATAAATGTGGTTAAAACACACTTTCGTGGCTAAATCACGTCTTCGAATAATCATATTTTTATTTAATATCAACTTGATTACAAAATACATACATATATACTAATCTGGACTATACAAGCATACATACATATAAATATAAGTATATTCACTAAATTCCGTTTAGCTGAATTCGCGTTGAAGGCAATCTCATAACTCACTAAATAACCCTTTACCGAAAGTCAAACATCATTGTTGGTTTGTGCATAAATATGTAATACGGCAAATTTTTATAAATTGATTTTATGAAAAATACTAGGCTATTCATTTCAATACAGAGCCCAGTTTGTGAAGCAGAGAATACACTAAGCGATGGATAGCTAAACGGAAAGTATTGTACATATATTTTTGCATATAAAACTAACCACTATAAACATACATTTGTACATATCAGCGCGCAAAGTAATGCTGCTATCTATTGCAATTCGTATAAAGTAATTATAGAGCATCTGCTAATACTGGACCACATTTCAAGAATTATGTACATTGTTAACTAATATCCTGGACTCTAATTAAATTAGTTTAAGAAACGGTTATAATTTTTCCAACACTACATCTGAAAGAAATTGTTGAACCCTTTTACAATTGAATGAAATCTACCAAACACTACATTTATGCACAGGGTTCATAGGCGAGCCCTCAGGACACTTAAATTCCCTTGCAAAGTCTCTTGAATTCGATAGAGTTCCAATAACCCGAAATCGTCCAGGGCTATGTATTGCTGTATTAAGTTTATTTCGTACTGCCTCGGGTCGCATAGCGCCGCACCATACTTGGCCGAAATTGAGAAAGAATAGTTGCTCACCCGTCATATTGATACCTGGAAGACGCTCATCAGCAGCAGCCGCTGGATTATTTGTCAGCCATTCTTTATAGGCATGGAATGCTTGTCGTAAACCACCATTGTCGGCAATGTTTTCACCTGTAGAGTATAATAAGCATGAAGTAATCGTAAGTATGTACATATACAAACATATGTATGCAAATTAATTGGATTTTTAAATCACAAATGTTATAAACTAAAACTTATTATACATATTCCCATATGACGTTTTGTTGCACAACTGCTTGATGTTCTTTGACTTTTTAGTAAATATTTGGCGCGTAAACTTCGCACCCTTCGAATGGCAAATGGTTTTATGAGATGCCTTTTAAAGGCGGAAATGCACTCAGAGGTTAGCCATTGCCAGCCGGGGAGCATTCGCTGTTATTAAAAGGATTTTTTTTTTTATTAAATACAACTTTCGGATAGTTTTTCTCTTGAATCTGAAAGCATAAGGATGTAGCTATTTAATATATACACTGAGGAAAAAACGCTTAGGAAAAGTTAATATTTTTTATTTGATTACCGTTTAAAAATGTTCGTATTTAAATATAAAAAAAATAGTATAATTAAATAATGAATTAAATGTTTTTTTCTTCTTAATTACCAAAGCATATGTGAAGTGCACGACATATTTTAAAACGTATATACTCAAATTTAATACGAGTTGGGTTGGTGCCCTTTCACATGCGTATTATTTTAAATTTAGCACGTTTTTTAAATTATAAATTTTTTTCCCTCAGAGTACCTAAAATATCCCTGCAGGGAAAGTTACCAGTTGTGAACTAGAATTCTACCAGTTTGCGTTTCAGCCCAACTAGTTCACGCTCAATATAGGCGACTGGTATTCTTAACATTGCGATGACCTACCAGACGACAATTGTCAGGCTATGCATCAGCATCTACTCGTAGAAATACTAGTAGCATCACACCTGTTGATGAGGTAGTCTGCCAGTTCATCCCCCGTGCAAAGCATAAGTATGCCATTTTGCTCGCGGCGCTCCAACAGTCGCAATGGTCCCAGGTTCAAGTCCAGGCGCAGGGAAAACTTTTTTTATTTAGCGTTTTTAGTATAATTTTTTAATTAAATTGAACAAAAAAAATTTCAATTCCTTTGGCACAAGCATTTCTTCCCATATATATGCTTTATCGGCAATGCAATTAGATTTACAAATTTGTTATTTATATTTAAATTGAAACAATTATTTTTACTTACATTGATCTAACTTTAAAAATTTTAACCACCTCCGAGCGGTCTCGAACCTGAGATTTCAAAACCATAACCAGTAGTCTTCACGTGACGCCACAGCCGACATTTGTAAGAAAAGATACTATGCGTTTTATCTTCGGCTTTGGCAATTCAAGTCAGATGTCGTTCAACGCCTGAGTTCTTCTAAAATACCAAACTGGTAGGCACATACTAGTTAATGAACTAGTATTTTTTCCAAACTGGTTTGGCTTTTCAATGCAGGGAGTTATGAACGTTTCAATAGCGGACTGTTACATTAAAATTTTTTTGGAAATTCTTTTTAAAGCTGCTTTATATTATCGAAAAAGTCTGCTCTCCTTATATAATGTTTTCAAAAGTTGGTGCACAGTTTCTTAGCTTAAGGATGGAACTCACGAGCTACGTAGTTATTGAACTGACAAAATTAATTTTGGGGTCAATATTTGCAAATAAAAGGGCGGACTGTCACAGAGAAAGATATGCGATATGTTTTTAATGGCTTTTAGTGTGTTTTATGCAATAAGTAGCATGAATTCGGTATACATGCAATTAGAGTTACAAAATCATCAATGGTTGGACTATTCGATATTTTCGATAGTTATGGACTCACCATTCGATAGTATCGATACTCCTTACTACGGTACTATTTATATTGAATGTAATATTAGTAGAGAACAAGTAAAGAAGTAAAAGTTCGGGTGAAACCGAATTTTATATACCCGGCGCAGGTATCAAAAATTGTCGTTTCAATTTTCTCTCAAGTACCTTTGCATGATAAGCAGTGGTTTGTTTCCTCGATTTCAAACGTTTTCGATAATATTACGAATAGAATCATGTACAAAACATAGGTGTACCCATAAATTAAAAATAGGATCAGTCCAGCGCCTTCGTCTTGACGGAGCCACAGCCGCTAAACCTAAACGTAGAATACGTGGTATTATTACGATCACATTCAAGTAAAACACGATACATACATTAAATATTCGCTTTGATTGTATTGAATTGAATGTTTTTTTTTGTATTACTTTTTATATTATATTATCGTCGTCTTCGGATTTGTGCATAAGTTAGCTAAGACTTCTGAAACAGCTGGCAACCCTCCTAAATATAGTTCAGAAAACAAAACCCTTTTAAATCCATTCCATTTGATACCCATATTTTTGAGAATTGCTTTAGCTTATTAAATAATTTGAGTTTACCTTTTTAAACAGGTGGAAACCTACTTTAAAATTCTAAATATTCAAACTAAACCAGTTTTATGATTTCAAATAACTTGGATATACAAAAATTTAATCCGAATTATCAAATAGGTGGCAACCCTATTCAAAATATTTCTAACTAACTACAGTATATTTTGCTTTGCTGCCTCTATGCTTAAGTGCACATTTAAGATACCTATCCCAAAATGCGCATCAAAAGCATTATTTTTAACATTTATAAGGAAACTGCTCCGATAGATGCATTCAACATACCTGCACATTGGCGATACCTGCCTTAAAAATTGTGCGACTAGTATCAATTATCAATGAAAGTATTACGTTTACCTGCACTGGCCCTACAATTACCTAATTTTACAACCTTTTATTTATTTTGCTCATCTCGCAGAACAACAAAAATGGCTATCAACTTATGTAGTTATATAGATAATTAGATAACATTCGGTAAAAATTTCGCTTGCAATAATTTCTACATGGTAAGTGCTCCGCCAATATTTGGTTTCATAGGGATTCGGATACCTTCCTCATTGAAGTAGTAAAGAAAATTCGCTTAAGTGCCTTTTTCGGTTACGTGCACAAGTTTTTCGTGCAAAGAAGGATGTGCAGCTAAGCAAAGTATACTGTACTACCTTCTTAAACCTCTTTTGTCTGACACCCATGTAGTAACAGCTTATTCACTTACACGTAGTTAAAATATAAAGCCTTTTCAAAACCATTTCGGTTGATACCCATAATGATATTGTAACAATTAATTTAACTTTTTAAATAATTTGAAAACAAAACTCTATTAAACCACATTTGTTTTTGTTTTGCCCTGAGGTATAGGCGCATATACAAATTTACAATTTCAATATAAACAAGTAAGAAAGTCTAAGTTCGGTTGGAACCGAACGTAAATACCCGGCGCAAGTATTAAATATATGTTTTTTCACCTTTCCGAAAGCTACCGCTACATGGTAAGCCGGGTCGTATCAATTTTGAGTAAATTAGCGTCCTTAAATTTCGAAATATTGAAGCTTCAAACATTTCTGAAATTTACCGTTATATGAAGAGCGGCCGTAACTTTAGTCCGATTTCAACAATTTTCAACGTTTTGCTTTTATGTGGTAAGCACAATAACCATACCGAGTTGGGTACAAATTGGTAGAACGGTTACCGAGATACATACACTCCCGGCAAAAAGTATTGGCACGGCGAATTTTGCTCAATATATGCACCTATTTCTATTCTAATATTTTTCCGCCAATTTTTTATAAAAATATGGTTCATTCTACAACAAAAAAAAACTTTGTGCTAAACTGGCGAAAATTATATTAATTTTCATGCAAATTTTCAACTTGAATTTTCTTGAGTATGCAGTTTTGTAGCCCATTAAAATATAGTTTAACAAAATGCAAGTTCGGAGTTAGTCAAAATCGCATTGATTTTTGAGATTTTTTTTGTTGAAGGTGTTTTGAATTTTTTCCATATAAAGTATTTTCGAAATTTCTTTTTGTATGGAAGAGACTGCGAGAAAAAAATGCCAAAAGTCAACGGTAATTTGTAGCTACTTAGAACTTCAACTTTAATACAATAAAATTGATTGGGCTACAAATCTGCATATTCAACAAATTCTTAAAAAAATGATTAAAAAGTTCAAAAATTTGCATGAAAATTTGCTTAATTTTCATGAGCTTTGCACAAAGTTTAGAAAATATATTTCTATGTTTTTTGATGTGAAATTAATCATGTTTTTATAAAAAATTGTCTGAAAAATTTTGCAGTAAAAACTGTTGCATATATTGTAAAAAAGCAGCCGTGCCAATACTTTTTGCCGCCAGTGTATATGTGATCATAAGTGGACGGTGCCACGCCCATTTTCCAAAATTTTATCATAAGCGTATTTCTTGGTAAAGAATTGTTGCAAGCATCAATTTTGAATAAATTAGCTTTAATATTTATTGATTTATCGAAGATTTCTTATTTCTCTAAATTACCGTTATATGGGATGTGGGCGCGGCTATTGTCTGATTTTAAAAATTTTCGTTCATTTCATAAGTTATACCAAGCCAATAACTGTTTGGAAGAAATTGATTCAGCGGTTACCCAGATATACGCATGTAACTATAAGTGTACGTGGCTACGCCCATTTTCCAAACATTTATAATATTCTTATTTTTCGACTAAAAATTATTGTAGATATCAATTTTGAGTGAATTATCTTCAGTAGTTACTAAAATATCGCATCGTGAAATAACACAAACGGCAATAACGCAAAATTTGCTTTATTTCACTTTTAAATGGAAAATAATATCAAAATCTGAGTTTTGCTTTATTTCCAACAAAGGTATAATTAAGCCATTTCATGGAACAACCAAAAGTTTCCGTTCCTGTTCGCAGCAGAGAATATTAAGGGTATTCATCAAACCTTATAAATTCATTGTATAAACTTATAATTGTGTAAACCTTATAAATGAACTGTCAAAATTTGTATGGAAACTCGTTTACACATTTCTGATAAATTTCTCCAGCGATTTCACTGAATAAACTTGATAAACTGAAGCTAATGCAACTTGGGCATTAATCGGGATCCGCATAAACTGATAGAGATCTGGTTCAATTATTATCCGTTCTGTTTGTTTTGTTTGACTGATAATTTGGCTGTAAAGTTTGGTAGCCGTGACAAATGAATTCATACATAAACGGACA